ATGCTCACACATTGGTGTTTACTAATATATGGTCTCTTCTGCTGCAGAGTTACTCCAGTTAGTTCTCACAAAATTCCAATGATGTAGTCACAACTATAACTTTGCACACTGGTAGGGGAAAATCTGATGTTTGTGGGTAATCTAACCAGTAAGGCCTCTCACTGGTAAATAACTGACATGGACAAAAGCTGTCTACACTCTCAGAGCTCGGCTCAAGAAGATAGTGTATGACATCAGCTGATCTAGGACGGATGACTGAGTGATGGCCTGGAGGACTCAAAGCAGAGCACAACTGCCTAGCAGTTGTGAGCTAGAAGACCTGTCTGTGACCCTGGAGGCTGAGCCCAAGTTGGGTCAGCTGGTGGCCACCCTCCATACTGCCAGGGTGAAGGTTATCTATAGCCACAATGATTAGCCAAACTATTGTCTGCAGCCTTTCAGGAAGCAGTTTGAAAGGGTCATTGAAAAACGATCTTTCTAAAGCTGTACCAGTATTTTTATTTCCTTTCATGTAACACCATATTTAAACACATTTGATGAGTCTGTTTTTAAATACTGGAAAACAACTCCCAGTAACTTGAGTTCGGGAAAACAAAAGGTCCCACTCTCAAAGAGCAAAGGACACAGTCAGGCAGCTGACAAGCATCCTTCTTACTGCTCTTGGGACCTAAGCTTTGGTTCTAATAATTTTTTAAAATAAAAACTTGACAAGTAAACTTAGATTGTTAATTTTAGAGTTTCTAAATTATTTTTCAAATAACTGACAAATTGCTGTGGCTAATCTGGACACTAGTGTTGATAAAAAAGAAAAATTCAGGACCATGACTTGCCAGATGTCCTTGAGTTTCTCCCCAATCCACAGCCCTAACTGGAGGCTGTGTCACAAGCCTGTAATCCCAGCCCTGGGATGGTGGAACCAGGATCGTCACTGTGCATCTAGGGACAGCTTGGTCTACGCAGTAGTTCCAGGCCAGCTAATGCTACACAGCAAAACCTTAACTCCAGAAAACCAAACCAAATCCAAAAAGGGTGTGGGGGGTCAAGAAACCAAAACAGGAACTCTTGAAGGATATCCATTGAGGTCACTGGTGTTCAAAATTCCTCTATCACAGTGGTTCTCAACTTTCTAATGCTGTGACCCTTTGATACAGTTCCTCCAACTATAAAATTATTTCATTACTACTTCATAACCATAATTTTGCTACTGTTGTGACTCGTAATGTAAATACCTGATATGTAGGATATCTGATATGCAACCCCAAAGGGTCACAACCTACAGGTTGAGAACCACTGCTCTATCAGCGTGCCAGTTTTGATGCTGAAGAGAACAGGAAAGTCACAAGAGCCTCCAACCCAGTAAGGAACACTGGGGAAAGCGGAGAAAATGGATGAGAGGGTAAAAAACCAAAAGGTCTCCTTAGTACAGTCTGACAAGCACGGCTCTAGAGTGTGAATGGAAGGCAGCATGGGGAGCTAAATCAGATGAGGAGGGGACCCAGGCCTCCAGGAGGGTTCTTCTGACAGCTTCTGGAGCCACAGGGAGCCACAGTGTGCCTAAAGCTTTCCCAGCTCTGAGTTCTACAGACAGTGGGAAACCTCAGCTAAAAGACTAAGATTGTGACAACAATGGCTGGCAGCAAGGGAAAGACAGTTGGAAACCTCATTTTCTGAGACCTCCAAATACCGCTAATCTTTCCTGTTACGTCTTACACAACTCAAGCCTTTACTGTTCAGTTCAAGCCTACCAGTGCCTGTGGGAGAAAACACCTCGGAATCGCTACCACCCTCCAAGATGGAGGCTTGCACAAGCCCCTATTATTAGGACTGAAGTCATGAGTTCCGACGTGGTGAAGTCTCAGAAATTCAGTGATTATAAACTCTAAAGGCAGGTTTCCATTTGAAGCCGGCAGGACAATATTAGAAGAGGTTTCAAGGCTTACAATCTGCACTTCCGGGACCTCTCTTGCTGGCTCTGACTATTACTAGCAGGCCAAGTAAGAAGTTATAAATGACGTTTGAAGAGGCTGGGGAGATGACTCAGTGAAGTAAGACTGCTTGCTTTGCCAGTCTGAAGACCTAAGTTCAAATCCCAGTACCCACATAGAAAAGCCAGGCATGGTTGCACATGTCTGTAACCCCCGGCTCTGTAGCAAAGACAGGCAGATCCCAGGAGCTTGTTGGCCGACTGGCCAGCCTGCAGAAACAGTGAGCTTCTGCTTCAGTGAGAGCCTGTCCCAAGGCAGTAAGGCAGACAGCAATAGAGAGCGATCCCTCCCCCATCCTGCTCTGGCTTCTAAACAAGTATTCGTGCAAGCATACTCATGTGTATGCCACACACAATGGGGGGTTTACAAACAGATGGGCCTGCTTCTTTTTACTTGCCCCTCCCCCCACACACCTCCCAAAGGAGCTTCATTGGATATAAAAGCAAAATTTTTGTTCCCTAATAGGTTTCTCACTATCACAGGCTAGTCAGTAATCACTGTGGAGATAGTAAATGATGCTCTCCTGAAAAGTTCAGGGATTCTGATGCATACCTTCCACCTGGGGGTCTCTGCAGGATGTGACTCTGCTACAATGGGTCTGAGCTAAGGGTCCAAGTCCCACGTTTCTAATGATCTTCCAGAGCTCCTGGTGCAGGGACAATACTTTTGAATAGCAAAGCTGCATGGTTTACCAGGCACTTTTCTCCATGGTTCTCTAGATTTGACCTAGTAGAAAGAAATCTACTAGTCGTGAGGCTCTTCAAGGAACACATCTTATCTCAACAAATCCTTGAACCAATCTTACCACAAAATACAAAAGGACTTATCCAAGCACTATATCGTGTATCACTCAAAATATAACTGGATACTGAGTGCATAACTACTGGCTGTTTCCGGAGGAAGGGAAGACAAGGAGGACAGCTGGAGGTGGGCCCGGGGAAGCAGTACATACAGAAGCTAACTAACTTCTGGAGGTCTCCCAGACACAGATGTCCTACCAAGCACCTTTATCTAGACTGCCCACTTAACTCTTCCAAACCTTTGTGAATTAGGGATTATGATTGTCACCTTGCAGCTGGGAGCCTGAGGCACAGAGGATAAGTAACCCGAGATAATTCAGGAAGGAAGGAGAGGGCAGGCTTTGGAACAGAGCCATAGAAGCTTGGTTCTCAGGGTGGCACAATGGCTCACTGGCTGGCAGCCAGTCACAGCAAGCCTGACACCACCTCTCTGATCCATTTTGCAGCTTTGGTCCCTGAATTGGTCTGGCTATGTGGCCTCTCTAAATTTGGCAGTAACCACATTAAAGATACAACTGGTATTTTTGGTGCCTGTATTTTTACTATACTGATACATTGCATGTGGAAGCTCTATGTGTGGCAAGATATTATTTCCTAACTTTTCAAAATGAGGAAGTAATGCAAACAACTGCAGTGAATACTACTACACAGAAAAAATGATGTGGGTCCTTTAAATAGTTTCAAGAACACACAAAGAACCTCCTATACCTGTTTACACAGAAGGTTCAATGGTTCCTTTCCTACCCCATCTGCATCTCCTCACTATAGATAGAAAGATGACAGACAGACAGACAGGTGACAGACAGACAGATAATAGACACACATAGATATGTACAGCTATCCCTTCCCCTCTCTCTCCCTTCCCTTCTTTCTCTCCACTGTATCTATCATCTTTCCAGATGATTGGAAAGATCTGTTACTATATTCCTTCCTGTGGTTCCTAAGGACCAGGCCATTCTCTTACATGATCACAAACAAATCATCAGCTTCAGGAAAAGTCATTGTCAATTTATTCCCTTTATCTAATCTACCATCTACAACCAAGGCTGCCATTTCACCCACTGATAGCTTTTGGAGTCAGTCATCATAGGATGTTTTAATAGCTGGATGTATATGAAGAATTGATATGAATAATTAAGAATTAATGTGAGCAGAGTGCTTAGGCATCCAGAGAGTCATTTGGCTACATTAGCTCATTTGCCTTGCATCTTGCCTTTCTGAGGTCTGGTGGAATCACTGCCCTAGCTTCATGGGAAAGAGGCCGAGTGGAGCCTCAGAGCTCAGGCCACTCCCTACCCTTCATAGTGCTGCTTGGTGCTGACTTTAAAGACTCTCTTCATTTTAGTACTAAGAGACTGAGCACTAATCCAAACATTTTAAATTCATAAAATAAATACCATTTGGATGTTTATCTCTCTAGCCACTTACTTTATGTCAACCTACAGATTACAATCAACACCCACAGTTACATTTGTAGGAAAAGTCCTGAGCTAGCCCAGGGAGTGTACTGCATGAGTACAATAGTTCCCACAATGGCATTCAGGGTCTGGGGTCTGGCTTCCTCAGCCCCTGCCTAAACTGCATTGTTGAGCCCATTCTTCCTCACATCTAGACTCGAACCCACAAGCAAAAGGCTGAATCATCAGTTCCAGGGTTGACTCGAACAGGGAAGGCAAAAATGAACCAATATCACCTTCCAGGTGAGGTGGTAATTTCCCAGTCTTCAGTAACAGCCTAAAAAGGATGCACTACCATAATCATGTCTTTTAAACAGTGAAGTCATTGTTTTGGAAATGGAGGGTTCAAATCCTCACTCTTCCACTGAGTTCACTTGCCTTGGACCAGTTCCCGAGTGTGGCTGGACCTCAATCCCTTTATCCACCCACTTAAATAATCAAACATGGAATAGATATGAGGGGACAGTAAGCTTGAAGGCTAGCATGTGGGAAGGCTCTTTCTTGCTCCTGATGCTTAGAAAAGCACAGGAAGCCTTCTTTAGAGAGTGGCCTGGCTTGTGGCAAGCCTCTGCTTTCACAAAGCTTGGAAGGAACAGCGCGATTTGTGTCTACAAGCGTGAACAGAGTAGGAGCTTTGAAAGTCTGCAAGGCTCATCGCCCACGGAGGGTACAAGGCAGCCGACCACTTCTGCCGAAAGTGCTGCCTCTAGTCGAGGAGCAGAGCTCTTCCTGTGTGGTAGGAAGAACAAAATATTTACCTTTTCCAGGGCCTCTTTGTCAAGCAGTTCTTGCACAGCCAGAAGTTTGATGCTGTAAGACAAAAATTAAAACAGGACTTGAAACAAGACATTTCATGTCACCAGGCATCTTCTCACAGGTCACAAGAATAAGAACGTGAACTCTCATCCTATCTTCCTATGCCATAGTCTACCTCAGGTGACGTTTTGTCCGCTTGATTCAAAATGACTCTTTCAAATATATTTAAAATGTTTCTAAACTTTAAAAGTAACTTCACCACAAGCTTAAGCACTGCTATTTTCAGTAGAAGTTAACATCATCTGTACTTGAAAAGGAATTTGCACACCAATGTTCACACTATTCCTCATGACCCAAAGATAGAAATATACATCAGCAGATTAAGTGAAAAAATGCAAAGCCGTGTGTGTGTGTGCGTGCGTGTATGTGCACGCGTGTGTATTTGGGTATGTGTTCATGTGTGTGTGTGTGTGTGTATGTGTGTGTGCTTGTGAGTGTGTGTGTGCGTGTGTGTTACTTATCCTTAAAGGGAAGGACATTCTAATGTATACAGCATAAGTCACAGATGTACCTTGAAGACATGCTAAGTGACATAAGTCAGTGACAGAAAGATAACAGCGTGATTTCAATTACATGAGGTACCAAGAGCAGCCACACTGATAAAGACAGAAAGAGGAGTGGTTCTTTCCTAGGGCTGGGGAGGGAGGAGGGAGGAACTTGCTCAAGTGGTATGGCATTTAAGTGTAGGATGAAAAACAAAAGTGCAAATGTGCTGGTGCCACCAAGACGTGTACTCAATGATGGTTAAAATGGCAAATACATTTTACCACAAAGCATCCTTAAAGTGACCGATAACTGCTTCATGCAAAGAACTTGAGTAAGCTCTGAGTAAAACTTCCAACAGTTAAACAGTTACTCACATTCAATATTTATCTTCACTCACAATCCTTTTTGTGATGACAGGCAAATAGCAAACACCATCTATTGCTCGTCAGGCACTGATGGTACCTCACTGTGTGCATGAGGTTGGAAATGTGCATGACTTTTAGGACATGTTGCCTGCCTGTGAGGAGTTCAGGGACGCTTGGAAGCCAAGGTCAGATTAGGACATAAAGTGAAGTGTGCCAAATGGATGTACAGAGATACTAAAGGAGCTATGACTCCACAGACAGCATAGAGGGTTTTCTGAAGGGACCAAAATAGCCTTGCTAGGTGAAAGTTAGGATGAAGGCTGTTTGTTGAGCAGAGGCTCGTAACTTCTACGGCCAAAAATATTTACAATTCATAACAGTATCAAAATTACAGTCATGAAGTAAAAAAACATAATTTTGTGGTTGGGGTCACCACAACATGAGGAACTATATTAAAAGGTCGCAGCATTAGGAAGGTTGAGAACCACTGCTATAGAGGGTTACCTAAAGGCATCAAGAGAAGTGGGCAATATCCCAGTTTCCAGGTTAGGGCCTGGAGCCTTGACTACAACCAGTGACTGAGGTGACAGAATCCAGCAACAGGTGTAGATTATAGGACAATGTTTTATTTAATAGACTTAATTGCTTCTAAAGCATTTGTGGAATGTGAGCAGATACAGTCAAGGATACAGGCAAGGCCTGGGCTGGGTGAAACAGGGGCGGAAGCATGAGAATTCAGACATGGTTTGGAAAAGGGTCAGCTGTAAGCTGGGTGATAACACTCCATCCCCAAGGCTGGTGTACACACTTGTGGTCACTGGTCACAGGCTGCGCATAACAGAGGGAACCCCGCTTGTCACACACAGCTACCTACACGGATAATGCCATTGAAGGCTCGCCAGTCCTTATAAACTTCTTCACAATCTTGATACAACTAAGCAAGTACAACCTACCAAATGCAATGGACTATCTTACCAGCAGGCCCAGGAAAGGCAACTGGTGCCTTCAAGGCCTATAAGAAGCCTAACACTAGTTCCACACACAATTTGGCCAAGGTGGGTGCTAACAGACTGCCTCAGGGCATACTCTCCACTAGCCACTTACTTCTCTTCCATCCACAGGACAGATTTGCTTCAGTTGTTCCTAAGACTGAGGGGACACTGTGTGACTGTCCCCAAGCAGATTATCTGGTCAACTATGGTGGAGGGTTTCTACTTATATATTGTTTTCCTCTGGTTTCCATTTATCTTCTCCCAACTCCTGAAGCATTTTGAGGCCACGAGCTTAGATGTTCTTGCCCATAGCTACATTTGTAATGTCTACAACCGACATGTAAAACATTCAAGGAGTATTTGCCAACTTCATGGGCCAAGAGGCCCGAGGGCCAAATTACTTTGAAAACTCCTACATTCCAGTAGATGAATCAAGAACCAAGCCATGCCTCGGTTTCTCCATATGAAAAAACAATACCTTAAAGGTGTTGACTGGACAAATTCACCCACGGGCAAAAGCTACTAAACATGATTGTATAACTGGCTGTCGCTATGAAACAGACCCAGTGGCAGCTCACAGCCATTGGTCCCACTGCAGCACCTTCAACTCCCAAAGCTAAGATTCTAGGTCAACAATGAGGGCAGCACCTTATATGTTAAGTTAGGAGTATCCAACCACAGCTCGTGCTACAGAAGTTTGCATTGCCTCTGAAGTAACTACTGGAAAATATCTACTGTGGAGGGGTGTGGTAAGCAGCCTCCTGTTCCTGCTTGTTTGTGATCAGAGGGTCTGATCTAGTGCCAAATATCAGATGTCAACAGGCTAGAGGTAGAAGCCATTCAACACACTCTCTCTCCCCATCCACAAAGACACCACATTCAACAAGATACCATAGTCAACCTCCTGAAGAGCACCAAGGGACATCTCTGGGGGCGGGGGGAGAATGAAGTTAAAATAACCTCTACCCACTCTAGGCTACCACGCCCCGCTCCTTAGAACAGGGTGGCATCCACATGGCTCCTCTCCAACCATCCCTGCACCTTGCTACCTCATTCCATGGAGCTTCCCTCCATTGAATGCCACTGGAGTTCAGAGTCCTTCTCAACACCCTAGCAAGCCACAGACAATCTATTAAAGATAATATAGCAGGTTCAAACCCACTGAACATCTGCAGTGGGGAAGAGTGCAGACTGCTCTCCCCGGAAGAAAAAAAAAAGGACCACCGTGTCAGAGATAAGCCAAAGGGCAGCTGCAATCTGGGTGCTTGGAACCACAGACTGAGCAGACCTCAGTTGCCCAAGGGCACAGACAAGAACACTAGATAGAGCCTATAACAATTTGTTTATTCAACTGTTCTGAGAATTCCAAACATGAGTAGTATATTTACATCATTTCTAACCCTCCCTCCTCCCCATCCAACTCTTCCCAACTATCTCAGATTCATGACATCTTCTTTAGTTATTATTGTTTTATATGGGCACATACACATATGTACATATAAATACATAATGAGCCCATTGAGTGCTGGTCAGATGTATATGTGTGTAGGACAGACCTCTTGAGAATGGATAATCTATCAGGGAACAGGCTCTCTCAGCAGGCACTAATCTCATCTAGAGGTGGTGTATTGTGAGATGTCCCCCACAAGTATTGCAGTCTCAATTGGTACTATCACTTGTATAAGCAGCTCTTGTATAAGCAGCCATAATGTTGGGATTCCATGGACATAGCTTCCTGTCATATGTAAAAGACAGACACTCTGGTCCTCTGGACCTTACAGTCTTTCTGCCTCCTTTTCTACAATGATCCCTGAGCCTCCAGTATAAAGCTTGTATGGGGCTACAACACATTTAAACTCAAAATTCCCAACTCTAGAGATAGACATATGTTCAAGGCGATTATACCCTAGGAAGTGGAAGACTAGAGTCAAGAAACACAGTGTCTGGGATAGGATGGCATTATGATAAATTCGTGAGTATTATATGATAACACACTATTCATCCCTTGTTTTACATACCAGGCACTCCTAGGAGACACTGAGAAGCAAGGGCAGTCTTTGTCTTAAAGCACCTGAGTCGGATAAAAGAACCAGATAATCACACCAGTCACATGGCAAGCACTCTCCAGGTCGAATGTGCTATACAGCTCACTAGAAGGACACCAAAGCCAAGAGGACCCTTTTTTGTTTTGTTTGAGACAGGGTCTCACTATATAACTTGGGCTGGCATGAACTCATGATCCTCCTGCCTCAGCCTCCTGAGTATGAACCATCTCAGCATGGTTTTTTGGATGAATATGAGAAAAGAATGGATATAAGAAAGCGAAGAGAAACCTCACCTCAATTTCTAGATTAAGACTGGGAACTGGATGGAATATGTAGTTAGGGAGGAAAGTGGAGATGGAGAATGGTGACATATCTGCAATACTCTGACACTTGGGTCTTGGGGACTTGGGGTGCAGTATGAGAGAGTACCTGGCTATAATTTAGCAAGTCCTGGGCTCCAGAATTGGACAATGGGGTAGGAAGATGGTGCCAAAGGAGTTAGCGTCCTCAGGAGGATAAACAGAACAGATGCCCCAACCAATAACCACTTTTTATATTCATTTATTTATATGTGTATGTGTGCCTGAGTGTGTCTGTGTGTATCATACATGCATGTGGGAGCCCAAGGAGGTCTGAAGAGGTGCCATATGCCCTGGAACTAAAATTACAGTTGTGAGGTACCATGTGGGTGCTGGGATAAGCCCCCATAACTGCTAAGCATCTCCCAAGGCCCCTAAGCCATAGCCATTTAAGAGACGGAAAGAAACACAGAATGGTAATACACACTGTTGATATAATCCCGGCACTTGAGAGGACGAGGCAGGAGGAACGTTGTCTCTGGGCTAGCCAGTGCTACACAGTAAGATATTGAGTTCTAGGCCAGGCTGAGCTACAAAGTGAGAACTCGCCAAAACAAAAATAAAAAACAAAAAAATGACAGCGACACTAAAACTTCTTTTTTTGGAGCAGAGAGTACTTCCAGGAAAGTGGAAGGAAAGCCCGGAGCCCAACACCAGGTCACAATTTGAAGAACAAAGGCTGATGCCCAGAGTGAGAGAGACTCCAGAGAGTGATGGATGCTATAATACAGTGGATCCGAAGGAGAC